GATGAAAAATGAAAAAAAATAATGGGCCCAGTATGGAACCTTGGGTGACACGAGTAGTGACAATTCTGTCCTACCACATATATGGGTTTTTGCTGCCTACTGAAAATCTGATATTTTCTTCATTTCTTTCAGTTTTACATATTAGAATTTCCATCAGTCATTCCACCCTCTCTTGCTAGATATGCACACACAGACACATATATATGTATTTATGTATGTGTACATGCACACATATGGGACACTCCTTTGACAGTCTTTAAAGTAAATATTTTATAATTTTCTGGGAAAAAAACCCCAAACACCTGATCTTTATTTTCTTGATAAAGATTGAAAACTTTGAGTATTACTATGGGGATAATTTTCCATAGTGACAAATGTATGGAAATGAGATTTTTTGTGTTTTTTGTTTTTTGGGAGTTTTTTTAATGCTGTTTGTGTGACATCCATTATTTTTCTTCTAAAGAACTGGAAATTATTTAATCATAGTGCAAGAGGCAATTGTGAGCATTGTTGGCTGGTGGCATATGGTGATGTAGAACATTTCCAACTGAAATGAGAGTCAGAAATCTGATGTTCATAAATAAAATAGTACGTACAGAAAGCAAATCCAGAGAGTAGATATTGATAAAAAAATTAAGCAGAAGAATACCTCTGGAAGGATAATCTGAGGGGGTAAGAATAATTATTCAACATAATAGAACAACAGTAGAAATAAAATACCCAATAAAATTTTCTGAGTTGGCAAACTGGCAAAAAACTTCGGGGCAGTCATAGAGGAAATCAGATGAAAAAGAGACATTAAAAGAAAAACAAAATTAGATCAATTTGTAAAGAGCCTAATAATTTGTAAAATTATCTAACTCTGGTGCTCTGCTCCCACTCACCCTTATTTTGAGCTCTCATCAGCCAGTTTGATGCACCCTACTGTTTTTCTACTCTTATATTAGAAAACACAGCCCAATAATTCAATAACATAAATTAACTGCTGTGTCTTTTTCATACTGTGATAAGGGTGGACAAAACACTTTCTTGCTTGAGTAGTTCTAAGCATTTTCCAATCATAAAAGGCTTAAAACTAAGTGAGATTAACTGCATGATCAATGTAAATGAAAAGTTAATTACAAGTCAGAAATCATGACCAAGTTTTATGCAGTGGAAAATGCTGCAAAAAACCAGGCACCAAATATTTGTTTAAATGTTAGTGGCATGTTTTGTTAAATAAAGTAATATCCCAAAATCCATGGCTGTAACTACTTAATGACTTTTGGTAGGATCTTTCCCCAGGAAGAACTCTCCAGAACAGTTTTGATATGGTACATTCTTCTTTTTATATTAATATTGATAAACCCTTCACTGCAAAAGTGAGTAAAATTTCAGAAACAAAAAGTTGTAGAGGGATTTTGGAATCTTTTGTTCCCATACACAAGTTAACAAACTGCACAGGACTGACTTTTAAAACACTAGATCACTCTGGAAAGATGACCATTAACAGCTCCTTGTGAGAGCAGGAGGTGTAGGAGGGCAGCTGATAAGAAGTGAACAGTCAATGAAGAACCAACACGAAGAATGTTCTAGAAAATGGAAATCTGACCAAGCCCACAAAGGTTTATCCCAGATTTACTTATAAAGTTCCATTGTTTTCATACAGCCTGACCAAGAACTTCAAACTTATCAAGGATTTCACCTTCCAGCAGGATTGAAGAATTTTGTAGTTGAGGTCCAGCCATCCAGAAAAAAATTCGACATCATGGCCACATAATCTCTGCCATGATGTTGTATGGCACTGTGCAGGTCCCTGGAAGATTGAGCACTTGCAAAATATTCAGCACAGTCTAAAAAGACTGGATATCAGTTGGGAGGTTCTTGAACTTGAAACCTTCCTAAACTTACAGTAGAAGGCACTGTTATGTTGCTGCTGCCAGGTAGCTCTTCCTTACAGTTGGGGCATTCTTTCCCACTCAATAACTCCCTCAGCCTTGTGCATCTTTTAGGTGTGCACTGTGCTGCAGTTTCATCCAGTTTTGGTCTATCCACCATAGATAGTCACAGACTGTGTGTCAGGGTTCATCATGGAGAAGAAAGCATGGACATTTTCACTCAGATCATGGTGCTTTCCACCACTGCTTGCCTTTCCCTTGACACCTAAAAGTCCAGCCTTGAAAGTCCAGCCTTAACATTACTGCTGTAAGAGCAAACTGACAGCAATGCTAAGATGAGTGGTTGAAATTCTCAGAAGAGACTCACAGTCTTTCTGAGACAGATGACAATTTAATAAAATTGTGGAAAGATAAATGAGTAAATATCTGTCTTGGTGACCAGGACTGTGCATGCTTCCAGTGTCTCTGGTTAGATGCTCTGTATAATGGAAGAATTACTAACAAGACTAACAATTGCAGCTGGATTATTGATTTATGTCATAAAAGGCAGAGCTTTATCTGCTGAGTGCTTTACTGTTTATCTGTTGTGCTTTACTGCTTTCCTGGGCTAGGCATTGCCATGGGAAGGGCAGGGGACTGTTTTTTGTGATGACATCACTCATACAGACAGCAAGAAAGAAGCCTTTTACTTCTCCAGACAGGGCTAGGCCCCACATCTTCACATTCTGAAGTGATGAATTTGAGCTGTGGGAATTTGCAAACATACTTACATACATACATATATATATATATGTATATATATGAAATTTTGGTTTTTTAATCAATCTATGTTTGAAGAACTATAATCTTAAACTAAACATTTACTCTATTTAGCCTGACACTGGTGTATTGAATAATGGACTTCATAGGGTTGACAGAAAATAAAAAACATGAAAAAAAATGACATGAAATGAATAAAATAAGAAAATAAATCTTCCAGTTAAATAGTTTACCCCCTTTCTTTCCTTCCAGTTAATATTAGTCACTGCTTGTTTAGAAAAAAAGTATTCATTAGGATTTTTTCTGTGATGAATTAATGTGTGCCACCAAGATGTTTTACAATCAATTTAGAACATTTGTTAAATCATTTCTTATAGAAAAAAATACAGAAAATTTATGTTGCAAAGACAGATATATATAGTTGAATTTGCTTGTACCAAATCCTGTATGCTGTAATGAGCTAATTTGGTAAGAGAAAGGCAGAACAGACAGTAGAGTTGATGAAAGGAAAGATCATTTAGTCTTGGAACACTCCTATTAATAGAAAATTTGCTGTGCTTAAATAAGGAACAGAACCTATTACAATTTCTAATTTTTCAATAAGAACTTGGACTTAAATTTGCAAGCCAAGTTTATTTCTTTAGTTTCTTCTTATAGAGAAAACTTCTCACAATACTCAAGTGTAGTACAGACAGTCACTAGTTTAAACTGAATTTGTGATGCCATTCTGAGAAGGCTATGAGTTTGTTCTGGAGTAGTCTTATTCTACTAAATTCTCCAGTCAGAATATAAATTTAGAAGAGTAATTTACAAATGACACTTCAAGAATGAATATACATGAATAGACTGGAAATAATCTCCTGCTATTGAATGTAATTTTGTCTGATAGTTGACTGTATTGTCTGTTTGAATAAAAAAAGTTCAAATTATTTTGTAATGAGACTAATCAGTCCCAGAAGATTCTTTTTTAATGATAATGCAGAATTCAAAATCTGTGTCTTTTAGTTTATCAGATTTTTTTTATCCCTTTTTGTTCTGTAACATATTATTTATTCTCAGCTATTTTAAGACTACAGGTAGTGTTTTTCACTGACTTCTGTGGGATGCTTTCCATCATGACAGGTTTGTTGCAAATCTTAAATAGTATTATTAATTAAGGGAAAAAAAAGGAAGAAGATTTTACTGTTTCTCTTTTTCTCTTCTCATTGAAGTGTTTCTTTAGCTATTGTGTATATTTCCACTTTTAGAAAGGGCCAATGGATATACAAAAACATATATATATATATATAAATATATATTTTCTGGGTCATGATTAGAAAATCAATATCTTATGTTTGAAAACATTAAGATACAATAATTTCTGTTTGAAAAATGTGAATTTTTTAAATGAGTTGAAAACCTTATATATTTGCGTGTGTATACATATATATTCAAATATATAACATTTTTAATTAAAATTTGATTATTCTGTTTGTTTTCTGTCTTCCACAATCTTTTTTTTTTAGCCTTTGACTTATTTAGATAATAAAAGGAAAGGAAAATAATGATGGAGGAAAAAAGCATAAAGAAAGGAAATTGTAATGTAAAAAGTGCACAAGCTAAGGAAAATTAAGTGAAAGATAAATCTGCCACAAGCTACAATCAAGTGAAAAAAAAGGTATGCAGCAAAGGGAATGTATTCTTAGGTTTACATTCTGAGTACTATTAGAAGAAAGCAAATCCACTGGTTTAATTGAACAGTTCTAGGACTGGTTTTCTAAAGTGATAGTTAACACAAATCAGAATATTTTTTCTAACTATAATACTACAAATGAAATATGGAAAGTATAATGCCAGTGCTCATGAGATACATAGATTGCTAGAAATTTTTTTCTTTATTTGTCACATGTCATTATGAGAGGTGATTTTTTTTTTTTAGCTGGAAGAATACAACATTTATTGTGGCATTTTCTGCAATGACATGGTCTCCAGTAATGTATCATGTACTTAATTTAAAAGACTGAATAAAACTTTCAAGATTTTCAGACATTATCAGATTTTAGGTAACATAACTTTAATGGCAGAAGAATCAAAACAGCTAAGACACTTTTAACTAAAAGAGAAAATTATTTGTCTATTCTGAAATATTCCAAGACACCTGTGTTTTCCTTATCTCACTTTGTTTCTGACAGAAGCAGACAGGTAAGTAGTGTCTCACAATGCTGATCAATGACAGGGGTCTCAGTCACTTTGGATTTGATCAGCATTTGATCTGTGGTACCAACATTGAGACTTGGGTGGTGTTCTTGCAAAAAGTGCAGATGCAGACTCTCACTGAGCCTTATTAAAGAGATGTAAGAAGAGCATGCACTTACAATTTTCTTAAACAGCTGCTTGGACATTTCCATTGGACAGCTACGGTCAGTTAAGATCAGCAGCCCCATCTGTGTGCACTCTCAGTCTTTTCTCACCCGAAGCCTACTCACTGGTGGAACAGACTGGGAAACAGTAAAGGCCTTCGTAAGCATTGCTCAGCAACAGCCAAAACATTATTTTGGTGAGAAGTATAAACTACTGCCCCATATGAGGCACTATGAAGAAAAATCCTGACCAACCTAGTGCAGTCATAAAATCCATAACCACAAAATAGAATATTGAGGGTCAGCGGTTGCACCTCTAACAAGGAGTTTAAAATCAGCTAATTTGAATTTCATCTAGTCAATAAATGTCTTCTAAAAAGGAATTTTCTCTTTGTCAAGTACACTCTTCAGGGGACTAAGCCGTCTACATTCTGAGTTTGCTCAATGCAGAATGTCTAATGAAAAAGTGTGACCTAAGAAATTAAGAAATTATACCTATTGAAATAATCAAACCATTGTCATGAAAATAATTCAGTAAAATTATGGGCAAATATATTTCATAAAAGGAAATTAAATCCAGCTTATTTTAGGAATATTTTTTTATTCTAATTAATTTACTTTTTTTGCTATTAATGAAAAGGTTTTTTTCCCATGTATTTAAGCATATATTTTTTAACAAATAAAAGGAAATATTTACCAAAAATAAGGTGTATAACCATATTTTTACATCTCATACTTTATAAATCAATCACTCAAAAAGGTTAATATCAGAAAGGGCAGTGTTTTCAGCCCATACTGATAATAAAGGGAAAAATAAAGTAAATACTCTGACTGCCAATGGAAAGACAACATCCCCAAATTAGAAATCTCTCCTTACACACTATTTCTTCTGTTATAAATTTATGATGTTTATTTGGGTCACATCTTTAATACATAAAGTCTACACTACATTAGCTTCCTAATATACAGGTAACTTTCTCACAGATATCTTGACATAAAATGGTAAAGTAGAACTCATCTATAAAAAAACCCAACAAAAATTTCACTCAGTGTAATCTGAAATTGGGTCCTTTAACGCTCTGTCCAATGTAATGGCCATAGAATCATAGCTACACAAAAGTTGGAAAAGACCTCTAAGGTCATCAAGTCCAGCCATTAATCTACTAGTGGCCATGTTCACCACTAAAACAATGAACTGTGTCCCTAAGTTCTGTGTCCATGTGGGTTTTTAAAAACTTCCAGAGACTGTGATACCACCACTTCCCTGGGCAAATTGTTCCAATGCCTGTCCATCCTTTCAGTGAATAAATTTTCCTAATATGCAATCTAAACACGCTTTGGGGCAAGCTGAGACCATCTCCTCTTGTCCTGTCACTCTTACCTGAGAGAAGAGATGGGCTCCCACCTCACTACAACCTCCTTTCTGGTAGTTAATTGAGATGGATAAGGTCTCTCCTGAGCCTCCTTTTCTCCAGGCTCCCTCAGCTCCCTCAGCCACTCTTCACAAAACCTGTGCCCCAGACCATCTGACAGCCCATGGAACAAACTCAGACCTCTCCAATTCAACAGAAAGATTTCTGGGGAAATCATTCCAACTGTTTTGTTCTATACTATTTTATTTTTTTCTGTCTCTGATTGTATTCATAACTGTGATGACATCATCTCTCAATCTTTATGTTCCTAAGCTTTGAAAAAGAATAATTTTTACTTTCGAGACAGAAAATATCTTTCTTATTCCTCTTTCTAATAATTTAATCTTATGGTCATGGTCCAACTCATTAGCCAGGATAAAGTATATCAATGTTTCTTTTTCTAATTTTCAAGTTAAAAAATAGAGACATCTGTAATTTCTAAATAAATGTAGGTGTTCACCAGAAATTTAGTTTGTTTTGAGCATATTTAAATCACCTTCATATTTCTATTTTTAAGGCCATGTTTTAAACCCCAAAAATATATACTTACCTGCTTTTAGACTGTATTTCCCTCTGTTTTTTGCAAAGTGGTTTGAAACTGAAGGTACAGATAAATATGCTATCAAAACCTCCCCATTATTTGATGGATCTCTTTGCACTTTGGTATAATTTGGAAAAGAATAATTGATTCAATACCAAATTTCTCTACCGCCACCCCCTTCAAAATCCATTTCTCATCCCCATGCTCTTTTTATCAGATAGATTTTCTCCTATCTCTAGCTTCCACACATATAGAGAGCTCAAGAGTTTGACATTTATACTAAAATGTTAATTTTTTTTTTTTTTTTTTTTAGCAGTAGGTCCTATAATCATCACAACCAATATTTCTTACTCGGGATATTCAGAACATCATAATAGCTGCTGGCAATAGGCAAACTGCACACACATGGAACAAGGACTTCTGTGCTTTAAGGGAAAAAACCCTTTGTTAAGTGTTCATGAAGGGCACAATACCCCAGAAGGCACATGGGGGAGAATTTGACTGCTGACATGCAGTTTCAGAGAGTTTCCAGCTGTTGAGCTTCTGAGCACACACATTTTTGGTATTCTTTCAGAAGAGACAGCATGGTCTCATGGAGACAGACAGTTCTTTCTGTCTAATGTATGGGGAGAAGATCTGGCATCACCTCTATGTTTCCATCTTCTTTTGAGATGGTACATGACTTTATGCACTAACAATAGATCATATTCACCTACAAACATACTGAATTATGTTCTAGCAATCCTTGTGCAATGCCCAGAAAGCCTTAAATACACTCATTGTATTACCCTTAAAAATATTATAAAAATGCTGTATAAATTTATTAATAATAATAATAATAATAACCTTCAGTGTGAAAACTGAGCTAATATCCCCTGGCTTTCAGGAGTGACTAGTGCATAAATTGAATACCCTGATCAACTCACAGCTTTTCCTATAATAATAATAATAATAATAATAATAATAATAATAATTAATAATAACCTTCCGTGTGAAAACTGAGCTAATATCCCCTGACTTTCAGGAGTGACTAGTGCATAAATTGAATACCCTGATCAACTCACAGCTTTTCCTTGGGTATGAACAAAGAAGTTGTTTTTTGCTAGCTTACAGTAGCAAAACTATATAGAGGGATAGAGTTAATGTGTACTTTCCCAGTATTATGATAGGCTGTAAAATCTTTTTTATCAGTAAATCTACTATTCAGATGAAGATGTTTCTTTGAAGAAGTACATTAACAAGGAAAAAATAAGAATTTGAGGAGAATTCCTGTTGTTTCGAGGTAAATATAGAAAAAGTTTTCTTAGAAGTATAAACAGAGGTTTTACAAACCCTTTGGACAACCTCGATACCACCTTTTTTTCTTATAACATACTCTTTGTTTTCATATGTAATCATGCTTTCTTTTTGTAGACAATAATCTCTGTCAGAAATCAGTGTGCTATGTACATTATGTCAGAGGAAAGGAAAAAATATTTTTTCTTTATAATCCAAAATTAAAAAGAAAACAACCAAAATTCTGAGTCTACACAGATTTTTTTCTTATAAATATTATTTGTTTTCATAAATAAGCCTTTTTATGAGGAACTTCACAAGTTCCTGAACGTTTCTTCTTTACATGAAACAAGCAATACTCTACCCTCAAAAACCTCAAAAAAACCCAACCAAACAAACAAAAAAACAAAAAAAACCCCCAAAACAAACAAACAAAAAAACCCCCTCCTGTCCCCACTTCAGAAAGTTGTCAAAATAAATAGAAAAATATATACTTTTAAATTTATACTTCACTTTGATTGTTTTTGTACAGGTGCTACAGGAACTGTGATGAAACTCTTTTTTTCTGGTGATATGGGGATTCTTAGAGTGGAAAAAGTAAGGTTCATATGATACTATTTCCTTATGCTTTAGAGGAAAGTTGGGGAAAAAGAAGCAAACAAACAAAACAAAACAAACACAAAAAAACCACCAGCAAAATATCCAACTTAGAACAACAATAAAATAGACAAACAAAACACCAAACCCCAAAACCAACTATAACAACAGCTGAATTGTTTAGGATGTCAATTTTGCTTGGAAATTAAGTGGATTTTCAAGTGCAATATTTGTAACATAAGCTCCTGTAGGATCAATATACCAAGATAAAAACCAATCTTACCTGGGAAACAGCTGTGGCACAGAATTTCCTTTAGATCTTCACAAGAATAAAAAAAAAAAGAATAATGAGACACAGTAATGGTCATAAATTTCAACACTTTCAGTCAAATATCATAGATTTTTTTCACAAAACAAAAATAAAAAATCCAGCAGACCATAATGTTAGTTATACTGATGTACTTTTCTGATCTTTAATTTTAAAAGGGCTCTACAGCTATTTCCTCATGCTAAGAGGCTACCCCTCACTATTTTTCTTCTCAGAAGGGATGAGTCTCATGGTTTACACATGGTGCAATTTAACATCAGTTAGTACTGCCATATATTATGCATATTTTATAGCATGAATCCAGAGAAAATACTTTAACAAGATAATATAATAAAAAAGCAGTACTTGATCTTCTGTGAATATTTGAAACAGGATTTGTAATTACCATTTCCTTTGGGATATTAAAATATTAAAGCTATGCTAGTCACACAGACTGTTCTTGTGACAATAAACATCTTGTTCTGTATAAACATCTCAGTGTTTATTTTATTTCCCAGCACATTTAATGTAAGATATCCAGAAGGGATGGGCATCTGGGGTGCTGATGGCATCTGCCTCAAATCAGACACAGAGACACTACTATCAGGATGTTCAATTTGTCTGGTCCTGCTGGCTAGAGAAAGCACACTGGGTCACCCTGGCCCTGGAAGATGATTTGAAACATATGGTATGATCAGAGCCCCAGGTTTGGGTTATTATTCTGATTTAGATTGCAGTGATCAGGTGTAAGACAGGGACGTTTGGCAGGGATCCCTAAGTAGCCCCAGTCACCTGCTTTACATTTTGTTGATTTCGGCTTGGGTAAAGTTAATTTTCTTCACAGTGGCTGTATGGGGCTGTGTTTTGGATTTCTGCTGAACACAGGCTTGATAATATAGAGATGGGTTTTTTTATTGCTGAGCAGGGCTTACACAGAGCCAAGGTCTTTTCTGCTTTTCATGTTGCAATGCTGGCAAAGCATGGGGTATTGGAAGGAGACAAAACTGGGACAGGTGACTCACTGTGGTATGTTCCATACCATATGACATCCTGCTCAGCATATAAACTGGGAAGAAGAAGGAAGATAAGGTGGATGTTTGGAGTGATGGTATTTGTTTTCCCAAGTAACCATTGTGTGTGATGGGGCTTGGCTGTTTTGCTTGTGCGTGCAGCTTTTGCAGTCCCTATTAAATTGGCTCTATCTCAACATGTGAGTTTTTTAACCTTAATTATGCTATTCTCTCCTCCAGCTAATGGTGGGAGAGTGAGCAAGCAGCTGTTTGGTACTTGGTTACTGGCTGGGGTTAAATCACAACATTATCTTACCATTCCTTTTCTTGACCTTACATTCTGTTGCTTAATATCTCTTTTTCTTTGTCCTTTTCTATTCCCAAGTAAGCCGTTCATTAATTCCAACCTTGCGATATCTGTGTCCAAATTTGGTTTATTTAGTGCTGGTACCTAGACCCTCCTTTCCTTGTGCAGTATCACAGATGGAGTTACTGAGGCACTGCCTGCCTTGCTGCTCTGCTGACATTCAGCTGCCTGGGATGTTTGGCTACTTGTCTCAAGCCTCCCCCTTAGCCACCTGCTCAGTACCTCAGAGTGCTATCTGTAACTCTTGTAAACTTCTCACTCTTTTATTTATGACTTCCAGCAATCTCTCCTTTTACATCTAGCAGCTTCTCTTGTCTTGTTTAGTAGCTTAATCTCAGGTGTGTGCTGAGTCAGTGCCTCAGACAATTGCTTTTAAACCTAGCATAAATACTTACATTCAGGCACCGTAGGACAAAAACAAGCAAACAAATGTGCAGAACTGTATTTTAAATTATAAAATTTTTAATTTAAAAAGCATCTTTAGGATAAATCTAACAACAAGTATTTGCAAGACAAACTGAGTTAGTAAGCAATTATATAGGAGAGTTAATGATATTATGTATGGTATTATAATTTATTAGTGATAGGAAATATAAGTTGTTCTTCATAAGCTGGAACGTTTGGATTTCTTTTAATAAACACAGAGATTATTTTTTGTCTCACTCAGTATCTACTCTGTCTTTTGACTTTCCTTTTGTAAGGTAAAAAATGGAGTCTTTTTCTTCCTATAGCACAGGGTGTGGATGAATCAAATCAAGAATGTTCCATAGCACTCATGAATTAGTCAAGTAAACTGTAAACTGGATTCAATTAATAGAATATAAATACACAAGTGTTTCTTCAATTTTAAATTAAAATATTATAAAGAAAATAAAGAAATGCCTAAGGAAAAAAAACCCCAACATATTTTTTACACGTTCGCAATTGAAGGAGCCATCATTGTTTTGATTAGTTTGATTCCTTCATAGAACTTTATACATACTGAGATGAGATACATTGGTTTTTTCTAGTAAAAAAAAAGAATGATTTGAAAATGAAGAACTGTTTATATTCTGTGGGACTGATACTGTGAAGGTCTTAGACAGTGTTTACTGGAATGTTACAAATCTAAACTCATTAGTGTTAATAAATTAGTTCTGGACTGTAAGTTCTACAATAATAAATGAAAAAAATAACTAAAATATAATACATCCTTTAAATCAATTTGATTTTGGATTATATTTCTATTTTTCTATAATTTTGGTTCCATTTTTTCTTTTTTATTATATTTCTGATTTAATTTTTGTCTCCAAACCTTGCCACATACTATTATTTTAAGTCATTATTTTTATTCTACAGAATTTTAATCTGCTAATTTCTTTCATTAACTATAATTCAATAGAAGTCAAAAGTTGAATTACTTTAATTCCTTTAGTAGTTCCACATCTGTACTACATGACTTGTGTCTAGTTTCTTAAGAGATATTCAGCCTACAGGTCCTACCTCCTCCTTGTTCAATCCCAACAGTGCAAAGTTCCTAGAGACTTTTTTTTTTTAATGTATCATTTTCCCCTACCTTTATCAAAAGAGCAAATCATAGTACCTAAAAAATTCAAAAGTGAGGAAATTAAAATTTATTGCAAATGGGCAGTCTATTTAAGCAGCTAAAAAGCCTACCAAACACTGAATGATCTAGGAATTAACATTCAATTAGCTGTTGAATTATTATTTTTTTCACTTTTGAAAGGCCATCACAATAGAAGAAACAGTGCCATAAATGGGTAATTAAAGTGCAAACTGAGATATTCCTGTAACTATATTTAATTCTCTCACTAATGTTACAGAAAATGAATTAAATGGAAAGGATTAAAGTTTGAAAAAGCCAAATGTCATCTAAGATGTCTGAATTAAATAATTTTAGTTCAGATATTATTTGCTTGGCAATCATTGCAAGCTTACTCTAGGTATATTAAATGCACTTTCTCAGTTACTTCAGAAATAGGAATTTCACAAAGGATTAAGTAATTTCATGACTAATTTCTGTAATTTTTATTTTAAAATATTGTAAGTGCAAGCAAACTTTTACATTCTAACATAAATAAATAATAAATGAGAGATAGTCATGAGCAGTAGACATGACTTTGCATAGAAAACCAGCTGAAGTAATAAAAATCTAAAATACTGTTTTACAATGTAAGTTTAGTACTGCCAATAATGTTAACAATTAAGAAAACAATCACATGACCTTTTATTCTAGACAATTGTAGTCTCTGTGTTGGAAATTAACCATAACTGTGACTGTAATCAAATTTACTTTTCCACATGGAGATTTTGACTTTTCTCAGTTTCAGTGGAGGAAGATCATTCAGCATTTAAGAAATACAATTTCTTAAGATTAAAGCCTTAAGAAAAAAAATTCTGAAGTCTCTTTTAGTCCTCTATTCTGTAGAGTTATGTTTTATCGGTTTTGTTTGCTTGCTTTTACTTATTACAGATAGAAAAATCCTTCTCTGCTATTATATTGCTTCCTGTACTAGTGGCTAAATTACAGTTATCTGTTAAAAATGCTAATGGTGCTTTATTTCATTCATGTCAAGCAATACACACATATTATTAAATGGTTTTTGACTTATTAAAAAAAGGTAGAAACATTTGCATAATCTAATTTAAGCTTAAAGACTTTGATTTTCGTGTCATCTGGGACAATGATATTAAAAGCATCCTCCTCTAACTAGTCAAGACACTCCATTCTCTCCTAATTCTTCTAATCAAAGTAAAATAAAGAATATTCCCAGAATCTCTCACAATAAAACCTATTTATTATCATTCAACATTGCTCCCTGTTCTTTTTTGAATCTGCTTCACACATTTCAATATATATTTCATAAAATATGGATTTAGGGCTGCAGCTTACTGCATGATGTTTTTGACTGATTGTATGAACTATTGGAATTTGTGATGACGCACTCTATAGATGAGGATCAAACATTGTATGGAAAGACATTATTCATCTCTATATATAGCATAAAGTGGTTTTCTGTTCACAAAAAGCGTAGCACAGCTGCCGAGATAAATTAAGAATGCTGTTGGCTGAAGTGTTTTTGTGAATCATCATTCAGCAACATTGCCAAAGACAGGATATTGATGGTAATGAACCAATAATGTGTGCAAGTGAGGTAAATTGCCTGAACTACTAATTTACATCCTGGGTTAAATCAGAGATATAATACATTGTTTGTATTGTTTTTTTCAATTGCATTGCTTTCTGCAAAGCATTACTAATAGATATTCTTTGATAAATTAATTGTTAATATAATGGATAATCTATCCTAATTGACAATTTCAACTGTTCTTTTTTAAGTAAATAATTTGTTTAGTTTTGCAATAAAACCTACTTCACTAAAATAGAAAAAAAAAAAATCAAAACTAAAACTCCATAACTCATATTTTACTCTGGATGCAAAGCAAAATATTACAAGTGAATTCTCCCACTGCTACAAGTAGAAGACTTCATAGTTGCAGCAAAGGTGGCCAACAGTATTCTGGGCTGCACCAGTAAAAACACCATCAGTAGGTCAAGGAAGATCATCTTTCTCTTCTACCCTGTACTGTTGATGCCACGTGTGAACTGCTGGGTGCAGGCCTTCATTCCTCAGTACAAGGAAGACCCAGATATATCAGAGCAAGTCCAGCAAAGAATCAGGAACATGATTTAGGTCTTGGAGAAGATGTGATGTGAGGAGAAACTGAGTTTTATATCACTTATCACTGTGCTTAAGTACCCGGGGGTGGGAGGGTTATGAGGGTTACTATGAGGGTTATGATGTGGTGGAGCATGTTGATCAGAGATGTTGAAGTCTTATCCATTCAGTCCCTAACTTGACACTGCCTGGGGCACCTTAGCTTGGCTCAATATGCTTTGAGCAGAGGGGTTGGACTAGACTATTTCCACAGCTTCCTCTCAACTTCAATGATTTTGTCATTCAGTGAAACTCCTCTGTACTAAAAATACTAAATTTTCAGAGCAGAGGACTATTTTATTTTTTTAATGTAAAGTTGGAAATATGCACATGTGAGCAGGTGTCCAAAGCCAGACCTTTAGGA